TTATTTATATTGAAATGTATGAATAAAAACATAAGTTGAAACAGATCTGTGAAACTAAAAACCCCTGACAAAACAATTTAGTAATCGCTCTACCTTGTAATTACTCTGTTTATTTAAATCGAGTGTTACATTTTATATTAACAAATCACAACTTAAACAATTAAGCATCACAATGGTGTGTGTGTAATTGAAAAATGTATATTTAAAATAAAATGTATATATAATTTTTATCGTCATTCTCCACATAATTAATTCTATGTACAGTAGAAGAAATAATTTGTAAATGTCGAGGTTGAGAAAGCTAAAAGATACTCTCTCTTAGATCTCACCGGAAGAGAATAAATCGGAAGGGCAGAGACGGTATATTAATTAAGAGAACCGATTGTGCTGTTTATGTAAATGGTATCAATGTACTTACTTCTGCAGAAAGATGAGCAAATCTTACACTTATCGAATAAACATAGTGTTCCTCTTCGAATCATTCTAAGAATGGAAATACAATTGGAGATTTGGAATTACGCCCACAACCAAAAAATTGATATTGTATTAATTAGGAGGTGGCCGTGTCCCTTCGTCCACTGAACGACACAATAGAACGAATACCTTTTACAGAAGTCTGAAATAATTCAACGAAAGAAATAATTATTCGACAAATAAATGTACGGACAATTGAATTGGCAGTAATGTTTATCAGATATAATTGTCGTAAACATTTTGACCAGTAAAATGCACTGTGATTAAGTCAGCGATAGAGGAAAATGTAATGATGTCGATACATCGGTAACGACAATCAGCATGTTGAGATGACCATGACGATAACGAGACCATGATTATGTATAGCCATAATGATGACGATGACGATGAAAACGACTATGACTAGAATATACCCTTTTGTTTGCCACTTTGTTATCGACTAATCGTTTAATCGTCTACTTCGTAAACAAAAAGTGACTAACGTTTGAATCATTAAATAGAGGATAATACCATGCGCTCATGATCGTAGAAAATGAGTATTTGCCTATTCGACTTGGAGTTGTTTAAGTAATGGGTTCAAATGGTGTTAAATGTTTCCTTGGAAATTTTCTTTAACGTGAAACTTAATGTTCAAGTGTTGAAACGAAACAAGTAATAAAAGTAAATGGTGTTTGTCTTTCAACTACGGACTTCATAATCTTAAGAAAACATCCGTAAAGTGCAATTTGTTAAATTAATAGTACACGTTAATCTAACGGAATAAAAATCGTACGTTCTGAAAAGTAGATGAAGTCATGTTCAAAGGACAGCGCCTAAACGATACATACAATCTCAGTAGTAAAGTTGCGGTTAAAAGCCGAATTAACAAAAGGTTGAAGAATGCCTGAAAAAGAAAAATATGTACAGATAAAAAGCCTGTTATGATACCATTCTGAATGAGGTTACAAATAAGACTGGAAAATTATAATCTTAATAAAATATTCAGTTTTATCGATACTACGAACAACATTGAAACAGAAATTTTTTTTCTGTGTGTAAAACTAATTAGTATCAACAGAGATTGCTAAAAGTAGCGTACATTGCACATTACATTCGACTAGATAAGTTTTCAAATAAGTTAGACAACTACTAAATAATAAAGAGGGAGACGATAGACATAGTGTTCTGGTTGTAAATACAATATCGCTAAAAAAAGAAACGATAAAATAAGTGGTATCATTAGCAATAACAATGGTTATACTAATAATACGATAAGTAACGTTACATTAATGATAGTGATAATGGTAATGGTAATGGCAATGTTGACGATGAGAATGAGAATGAGAATGAGAATGAGAATGAGAATAAAGATGTTAAAGATCATGATGTTACGAGTGAAATATGTGTATATATTAATTTCCAAAAATGAAAATGTAGAACATCAGTATCAGTGAAATAAGTGTAATAATTATAATTGTAATGATAACCACAAGAATTAAGTACTAAAAGTTATAATTGGAATACTTCGCAACATGGCTTTTCTTTAATGTGTCAATATATAATTTATAAATGGTATATTGACCTTTTTCTTCGAGCCATTGAGAAAGTCCTTATACATTTCCGACCGTAGATACCTCGAATAACTATCGCTTTTCATCAGGTGATAAACATGCGCCTAAAATTTAATAGCACGGAATAGTTTCTTATTATTTGCTTTCTACTATGTGATCATTATCTCTAAATTTGTACTGCATTTATATCGTTCAGACTAATTATCTTAATGTTATTGTTACAGTTAAAAGTATTTCTTAACGAATTTGTTCTAGTTTAATGAAAAGTTGTTGTTTCAAACTTATACCGCTGCTACGTCGAAACACCATCGATCAGGCTTCTGCAAATTCTTCTTCGTTATTTCGTAAGATTGAGAATCAACGTTGATCGGACAACTAGCATCCGGGCCCAAGTACTCGTTCCAAATCTCATTTATTTTAATCTGAATTTCTTTCTGGGGTAAAGTTTTCAACTCCTGTACAGCCTCCCAAAATCTGAGTGTAATAATTAAGATTTCACTTTGAATTTACAGTTGTAAATAATATTAGTCACAGGATTACCGTTTACTTACTTCAAATTTTCACCGCTGAATTCTTTATCTAAAAACCGTGTGAACTGGTCTCTGCCAACAGGATCTTGTAACAGTTCTTGTAGGCTAAAGGCCCACCTTTTTACCCTTCTCGTCGATACCTCTTTCCTGTTGAAAATGACATTAAATTTAGCATTTCCTTAGTAACAAGAAGGCACGATAATAATGAAAAAAAAAATATATATATATATATTTTCGTACGCTAATTTCTCTTGTTCCCACATTTCAGGATTATCCGATATCCATGGGTTTGTGAATTCAGGTTGTGTAAAAAAAGGATCGTACTCTACATACTGTTCAAAATATCCAATGAGACTGAAATAATGAAAGTACATTTTTAAACAAGTTTCATGATATTCAGCTTTGGACTTGACTCTTGTTCACTTACGCTTCTGATACTTTTGATACTTTTGTATTTGGTCTATCTAATATATTATTCAGTATTTCAATCTCTTTGTGAAGAACTTCTACCGACGGTGCTACATTCGACCCTTGTTGCGAAGGAACTCGACCACTGTCTCCTAGTCGCAGTTGCGTATTTGATTCAGAAGTTGATTTACAACTACGACATGCTTTCTTAATGTCTAATTCTGTAGTGTTAACGCATCCAGGCTGAAATCCATAAAAATCATCAAGTAAATATATATTTTCATTTGCAATTGATGAAACTACAACTGTACAAAGTACATGTACACAATGAAATAGAAAAATTGTTACCATTGGTCTATACACATCCCAGAAAGCTCTTTCTTGACTATCCAACACTTTGCGTTCTAGCTTGTCCCTTTTCTTATCAACTTTACTCTGTGCTTCTGCCTGCATGAAAATGTATTCCCATTTTCGTGAGAATATTTTCTGTAATTTAGCTAGATTCTCGGCCTCGTAATCTGCTAATTCCAAACGTGTTTTATTCTGCATTGTTCTTTTACATAAATAAACAGCTGCAACATTTCAATTCAAGTGTAATTCGCTTTTCAAAAAGGTAATTAGCACTGGATCTTTTTGAGCCAGTTATAAGGAAATCTATCATACCATAATCTGTATTTTCTGGTTCCCAACAATTTGATGGCCAAAAATATGGTGTTTGAAACCTGTAAAACGTATTATCATTCCTAACAGTAAGGCAGTGGTCGTCTATAGGGAAAAAATATCCATGGGATGCCATAAGATGTGCCACATGAAGGGCCTCTGTAATATTTTCACACAAATATAATAAGTTTTAATATTTTTCAAAGTTGAAACACAAAAGATTCAAACAATACCACATTATCAAGATAACATTCCAACCTACCTTGATCGTCTATAGTCATAGTCTTCATCATCCATGCTATTAAATCTGTACCTAAAATAACAACTCGAGGACATTAATAATGTGACAGAAACAGTAACAAAATTATTTGAAACTTTTCCTTTCCAATACTTTACCCGTAAAAACTGAAGGTGTTTTTGTCATAAAGCTCTTCACTGTTTTTACTGGAACACCTGATGCTTCATTCGACATTTTTTCTACGATAGCTTCCATCTAAAAGAGTACATTCGCAAAAATTATTCATTTTAACAGTTTAAATAACAAGCAGACAGTTAAATATAAGTTGTCACAATTACTTTCTGAAATACAAGGTAGTTTGGAGTGTCTTCGGCACACGAGGCAGTGATGTGATATGTATGACTACTTTGATATTTATCGAATGTCTCTCCATTCCGATTATTAGACTGATTCTTTTGATTATCTTTACGCCTTAGTTGATCAGTTGTTCCTCCAATATCACTACTTTCCCCAGCTTTTCGGCAACATGCCGACTTTTCAGAATTCATCGTTACCATGTCCACCCTAGACATTTTAAAAAGGTATACAAACATTTTCAAACATTTTGCTGTAAGCTTACCTAAGAAAAACTTAATTTTCCATGACACAAACCAAAGGAAAGTGTCTCGTGTGCATCACATCCATCGGGCTGCAATATCTAATAAATTATTTCTTTGTACTTAAAATTATTATGATAATATTGTTTAATAATAGAATTTATAATGTACACGTTTATATACATAAACTGGACATTCAAATGAATTAATACATTTGAATGATTAGCAACGAATTTTAAACAATAAAATACAATATTAAATTACCGTCTTTGAAAAAGAAATTCCGTGTCATTGAAGCAAGTGAAACCACTCATCCATTTCCAATTTGTTAATTTACAATTAATACGATCACATTCCTTATCGGACAACAGCAGACTGTCTAATACTTTCCCATTAATCGGTTTCAAAACTCGCTCTCTGATTCCGAGGAAAATTTGAGTCAGAAATCTCTGTTTTTCATTAAGTGATCAATATTCTCAAAATCACAAAGAGCAAATACTAGATACCTCCGGATTCTGATCGAAGAAAGATATGTTGATCTTAAGTGTATTTTCTCGACGAGTAACCGAGGACCGCGGCAATTTAAATCGCAATTGAACTGATAACAGGCAAATTGTTTTTTAACAGCTGAAATAAAAAATAGTTTTATTTGCCAGAAAGAATTGCTCGTATATCTGAAACGCGACTGCGCGCGTCAACTCCGCGCTGCGCCGTTTTCCCGTCTCGTTGAGCCGTATGCATCGCATATATATTTATTCTATCCTTCACTTTACTTCAACTGTTATTATTCCAATGAAAATTGCTCGGATGAAAAAGGAAATTGTTTATTTGACGAATAGAATTGGACATATTTATAACAGGATTGCCAGGTTTTAATATCTACAACAGCAAAGAAACAGGGTACATTCAAAAACAGGAGGGAAACGAACAAGTTTGACGAAAGCTGATAGTATTAAAATATTTCTTTTTGAAATTACAATCGCTTTGTAACGTTAGCGTTAAAATGTTGAAATTTCCAGCAGCTATCGGGTAGTTGACTTCAACGATAATTTCGTAATGATTTTGATTAAGAGATGCTTACGACGACATACGTATATTTTAGTGAAAAAAGTAGAAGAGATGAAGGTTCTTTTAAATAGAAATATATTTAATATGTACACACATAATATGTATAATTTGACATATATTAATTAATATGATTAACATGTATGAATGAAGTACAATGTATTAATAAACCATCTTTATTCTTTTATTCCCTTGACTTGATAAAATTCCTAATAAATTCAATTCCTTTTCAATATACAAATTGTACAGAATTATAGTTTGAAAATGTACCTTCACATAAGTCGTGTAATCGTATTTATAAACTTAATCTATAAGTAGCGCGCGCGCACGTATACATATGCGTGTATACAGAGAAAGTAATTGTAGCAGCCAATTTATTGTGTCCGTACAACGAAGGGGTAAACATTAACATTTACAAATCCTTAATGAACTTTACAATTTTCAAGAAAATACACATACAGCTGAGTACAACTGTCTCCTTTGAACTTTTTTAATTGTTCTGTCTCTTGCAACGACCGCGGATACATTTACAACAAGAGACTGAATTAACAATTATAAATTCTGAAACTACTTTTATATCTACGCTACAATTATTGTTATTATAAAATAATACTTTGCAATTCCATATTAGC